GAGACGAATAATTTCACTTAATTATTATGTACTTGACCCGTATTCAAAACTGAAGCGTATGCGCACTAAGCAACGTACAGTTCACAATGCTAACTGCTAACACAAATATCAGTTAAAGAAGCACACGTCCACCTCGAACAAGTAATGAAGTGGAATAAATCTGGTGGTACAGCACATTGTCTTCCGGTGAGAGCTTTGATTGGACTTACATTCGTTGTCTTATTCTTGGTACAGTTCATTGCCAACTGAAGTGCTTGCAGACCCTTCTTCCAGTCTTGAGTTTCGTAATTACGAATTACAGTTAATCCATTTTTTACAACGGCCATCATACGTTCCACCTGTCCATTGGCTCGACTACATCCTGGAGCTATGAAATGCTGGTAAATGTTATGATTTTTACAAAAATCTTCAAATTCAGCTTTAAAGGCAGTGTCTTGATCACTTATGATTTGTCTTGGAGCTCCAAACAGAGATACAATATGCTTGAGTGGACGCAGCATTGAATTGGCAGTCTTATTACTCGCATAGGTCAAGGTGACAAACTTAGTATAGGCGTCAATAATATCCACAACGTATTCATGTTTGTTGTTCCTTCTGGTGAGATGTCCAGTCATATCTTCAGTTCAGTTCAGTTCAGTTTCATGTATGTTTGTAAAGTCCCCCGCGACACAGGAATATATATTCCTAATGCGGGCGTTGTCTTTTTACTACTAAAAAAAAAAAAAAAAAAAAATATCTATGTGTATAGTGTCAAAAGGAACGGATTTCTTCTCTATAGGATACATTTCTACCTGCTTAGCTCCAGAAGGACCTTTACTGGTTTTGCATATGCCGCAGTTGTCTATAAATCGTCTTATCGTCGCGGACATTTCGGGAAACCAGAAGCATTCTCGAATTTTACTAAGAGTCTGTTCCCATCCAAAATGTTTTAGAGCGGTACGATAAGCATTAATAACACTCCATTGGTATGATTTTGGGACAATCTTTTTCCATTTTTTGCATCCAGGTTCTTCTTCATCGTGATAGCGCTTCAAAACAAGATTATTCATGCGGTACTCACTTATTTCCTCCTTGTGTTCTAACTTATTTATAATTCGAGCCAACTCTTCATCACGCCGTTGCTCAACCCTTAACCATGCATCGATGTTTTGAGCCAGATTAATGCATGCTACAGGGTTACGGCAAAAAAATCTGCATGTTTCATTCGACATCCTTGGCGGTATTCTTTTTTAAAATCGTAATGCTGAAGAAACGACCACCATCTATGAATTCTCGGTAAGAGTTCATGTTTACTTGACGACGACTTTACGGTATTGCAATCAGTAACAATTTTAAAAGATCTACCGTAGAGGTACTGCCGGAAGTGTTTTATTGCTCTTACTATGGCAAGAGTTTCCAACTCATAAGAGTGGTAATGGCTCTCTGGTTCGGTGGTTCTCATACTCATGTAGGCAATCACATGCTGTCGGCTGTCCTGTATTTGCATGAGGACGGCTCCCAATCCAGCGCTACTTGCGTCCGTGTGTAGTTCGATGGGAAGTCCTTCTTGAAAAATTATTAGAACTGGCGCCGAAGTTATATTATATATTATATATAATCGACGAATTATATCGAGTCTGACACTTTCGCATTCAGCGGTCCATTGAAATTTTGCGTCCTTTTTACGTTGTACAGTGGAATCAATCGTTCAAAGAACGAAGGTATAAAACGTCTAAAGTAACCAGCTAAACCACAAAATTAACGTACCTGTTTCACGTTTGTAGGTACCTTCCTTCTTTGGACTCTGACGAACTGTACATATTTCCTCCGCATGGGTCAAAGTTTTTTCAAAGTGTCCAAGTTTGCTAAGGGATCTTCGGTTGTACTGACGTTGGAGATACTCGACTGTCTTATCATGGTGGCTCCTCTTTCAGTAATGAGGATAGAGAGGTCTGTACCTCTCACTATTTCTGCTCCTATCAAAAGCCCACAAGGTATTTCGTGGTCTTCTACGATGTGGAATGCAATTTCTAGGAAAATGCCATCTATGTCACACATAACGTTAATTCTTTGGCAAGATAAGAGTGGCATACTTTCACTACCAATACCCTTCAGCATCAAATTACAATCTTCACGTTTTCCGGGTATAGACTGACTGATCGAACGCCTTATTATAGAGCGTGCAGCACCACAATCATACAATGTGGTGAATCGGTGATTATTAATTTTAATGATCATCGGTGTTAGTATTTTTTCTTGTTCTCCAGCTAGATTAATTTTTCGGCTTCATCGCTCATTTTTTTGAAACAGTTGGATTCATAATGACCAGTTTTATCACAGTAGCTACATTTGGGCTTAGAGCGTTCTGTTTGGTTCAATGATTTGTCTATGTTACTTGTACTCAGCAATGGCTTAGGGTCAGTCATCTTTTCGTTACCCTTATCGCAATGTGCTTGCACATGTCCAGGTTTCCCACATTTAAAACAAAGCGTATTGTCATCTCCATTGTTTTTCAGTCTTGGTCGCTTAGCAGGTGGTTCACCTTGTCGAGGTTCTCGCTATCTGAGTGTTGCTGCTACAGAAATTAGTTCAGGTACCGAAGAACATTTACTAGATAATAGACGTAACCGAAGAAACTCATTGTCTATGCAGCCAATTACAGCTTCTACAGCGTCTTTATCCTTGTCACCATTAATGATTCGCTTCCAGATATTCCAAGCCCTAGTGATTGATTCAGCTGGGTTTGACATGTCAAATTTAAAACACCGCAACTTCACTATGTCGTTTGAATATCGTGCTTCGGGCTCAAAGGTCTGTATTAACGCTTCTCGCATGTCGGACCAAACAGGTGATTTTACTAACCATGTATCTCCAAGACTTTTGGCCCGACCTTGTAATAAGCCAGCTATTTTTGTACAGACTTCGTAATCAGTCAGTTGCCAATGGGTTTTTGCCCTGTCCACGTGCTCACACCAATCTCGTACTGGTACATCACCGTTAGGATCAAACGGCGCGATATAGATATCGCTAAGTTTTGGTCGTTTTGTTGGAGCCACAGCCCGGTTTAGTAAATCTGTTTTATATATTAGAAAATCTCGTGATTAGCCTGCATACTTGCTTGCTGCTGCCGGGTCAGGGTTTCTATGATACTAGCCAACGCAGAGAGTGTCTGGTTAGCGTCATAGTTATTTTTTCGACCCTTCTTCAGTCATTTCCGACTTTGGTTGATTGATTGATTTCACTTTTAATAATTAGCACTATTTAAGTTGCAAATCAATAAAATAAAATAATTGAATAAAATAATTATAATTTATATTCAAATAATACACAGCAAACAATAATTTACAACAAGATCTAAATAAACACTTATTACGACTCAGGTGTGAACCGTGTCACAATTTAGGTGTCGACGGAGCGAGCGCCTCGATGAAACTGTGTCTGTCTGCACTGCGTGCTCCTTTTTATTGGCGACGGTCGGTCCGTCCCCACCTCGCCTGACTCGGGGAGTGGTACGATGACGTTACTCAAAAATGTGCGGGTAATCTTGAATAGCTTTGTTATTCGACGCCGACATATAACTCATAAGTAATCGGTCTTAACTCTTAGCCGTCTAAAGAAAAAAATCTTAAAATGTCATTCTCTTACCGAATACGGAATGTCACTACCCCAATTCATCCCGTGGGTGTCGTAAGAGGCGACTAAGGGCGCAAAACGACGCAGGACACCAGCACTGCAAAAAGAAGGAAAATTGATACAATCCCTATACCAATCCGTCTGGCCAGCGTGGTATAGTAGGCCAAAACCTCCTTTCTAAGGAGAGGCCTATGTCCAGCAGTGGACTATTAAAGGCTGTTGATGATGTGAAAGCTAAAACTGTGTGAAAAGGCTTACTACACTATTACAGATTATTTAGACGACAAATTTGCTTGGGATTGATGCTGCTCACTCCCACATTTACGTAGACATCTTTGTTGTTAAGTTTGAAAGTGATGGACATTTAATTATTATTTTTTTGGTGTAGTTCGTATTTTGTTTACGTATTTTATTTTTCGTTGAATTGGAATTGTATAGTTTTATTTTTATTTTTTGTGTAAGTATGTAAATGCGAGTATAGTGTAGGCTTGTAATGTTAATTCATATTTTATTATCTTTCTGGTGGTTTTGAGTGTTTCCACGGCCTACCCAAATGTCCTGCTGGCGGTAGTGCCATGCTTCGGGTCGTTGATCTTGACCAATATCGGTTAGGCTACACGATGGCTGGAGCATGTATGCCGTCTGTATGGACAGGCTGACTCAAAACTATGGTCCTTTTCTCAAAAGGCCTATCCAGACCCTATACTGTACTCGCACAGTTTTATTTAACTTTGTTTACGGACTTAAAAAAAAAAGACACCTCTGTGGTTTGTTTCGGCGTTTCTTCCAAGAGTGAGTCTTAAGAAATGCCGGCTCCTTCTAGCTATAAAGTCCGACTTGTAAAAATATCTGAAAAGATTTACTTACAGAAATAAATATCATTTATCATTTACCACATCGGGTCATTTGACCCTGAGATTTTTTTTTGTATTATAAGTTTATCAATACATATTGCTTATCTTATTGTAGTCGGTAATCTGCACATTTCTGCAAAGACTGCTACGTAAAGTAGTTTAATCAAAATAGCTGAGAATAATTTCAAGAAAATATCAAAATTTTAGATTGAAAGTAGATTTTTGTGTAAAAAAAGGTAGCAAAAAAGGAAAGTTTGGTGAATAGTTTATATTTTATTTTGATAGCTTTATTAGTGATACAGGTAACTCTTTAGCCATAAAATGTCGAAACGAACGAGACAGTCCAAGTTCTTAGAAGATATAAATTAAGAGTTTTCAGAAATCGGTGAAGATGAATTTTCTGAAAACGAAGATAAATTGGTTACAAATGAAAATGAGTTTGTATCTACACATACTGACGATGAAGAGAAAAATATTGTGAATATCGGTTGTGGAACAAGATTACTCTCAAGTTCTGCAGAAAATGAAGTAGAAATGAATGAACAACATGTTGCGAATTATGGATCTGTTTGGGAAGAAATACAAGTAGGTGGCACACCTGGAAGACCACCACTTCATAACATTTTCAGGCAAGAATTGATAATTGACCACCGTATTATGAACCATATAAGAACATGCACAATAGAAGAAGCAAACAGAGTGTTAGGATGCGATTGGAGTTTTTCTCAAGAAAAACTTGCTGCATTTATTGCAATTTTATATGCACGAGCTGCATATGGAGCAAATAATTTGAAACTTTCTTTTTTGTGGAATAACATATGGGGGCCTGAATTTTTTTCTGAAACTATTACTATAGATGAATAGCTATTTCAGACTAAAGTAAGATGTAGATTTACGCAATACATGCCTAATACGCCGGATAAATTTGGAATCAAATTTTGGTTAGCATCGGGCTTCGATAGCAAATACGTCATAAATGCATTTCCATATCTAGGAAAAGATGAAAATAGCCCCTTTTCAGTACAACTTTCTGAATATGTTGTACTTAAGCTCATCAAAGTCGGCTAGAGATGCTAATCAACGTAACAGGTGTCAAATAGGATACTGTAAAGAAAATAAAACTAGCAAAATTTGCTCTAAATGTAAAAAAATTGTTTGCGGAAAATGTATGATGGACACACTTATATGTAAAAAATGCGAGAAATAAAAACAATTCTTATTTTTTGCGTTTGTAATAGAAATTGTCAATATAATATTTCGTATAATTATAATACATTTATATTTTTATTTCCTTTCTAACATCCATATTTCTTACATAAAGGTAGGAAACATAAATTTCGGTAATTCATCGGACATGAATTTTGGTATAGAAGGGCGGAACCTTTTTTTGTTCTACTTCCGATGTTAAAGGATCATCGTTACGTCTCTTAAGTGAAAAGCTTCTTAAAGTACGAAAGAGTTGATGTTTATCATTAATAATTACAGAGTTCAACTCGCGACGTATTTTATCATCACATTGGGATAAAATCGAAATTGCAAAGCCCATTGTAACCTTTTCGGGTAGGTTTGCGTTGGGGATTTTTTCTATAAGCTACCATAAGCGTGTGCCCGCTTCAGCTGGGTTTTCCTTGTCACCAAGGCGAAACTTAATGACCTGATCAAAATAGTCTTGCATCATCATTGGTTTTGAAAATTTCGAAATTAATATTTCCTTAATAGCATACCAGGACATGTTATCTGGCCGTATTTTTGTAAGACAAGTCGCAGCGCGACCCTTAAGAACGTGAGTGAGTGCAAAAATGAGATCAACACCCTCCAAGTTCTTTTTTTCAATAATCAATTCGCTTAAGGTACACCAGTCTTTTATGTCGGAATCTGCGTCATCGAGATTGAATGACACCATTTTAAAGGGGTTAGGTGGATTGACGGGATGCTGATTTAAACTATTTGATAATTTTAATAAAATTGCTTCCATACCGGAAGAAAAGGGAGTGGATCCGATCCCACTTCTGATGTAAGAAGAGGATCGGCCATATTTAAAAATGAATTTCGTTTAAGACTTGATAATATTTTATTCAACCAAATACAGAGAAACAGCAAATCACAGGAATAATAACAATTTGTTATTAATTAATCATTAAACTAAACTATGTTTTAAATTAACATTTCAATAAACAATCCTTAAATAATCGGGTATAATTAGTCCAGAAACCAAATTATAACCCGGAAAATAATTAATTCGTTTTCACAAATTATTCATCCAAGGTGTCTAGGTTAAGCTAGCAGCGAAGTACAACTAGTGCACCGAGCCACGCCAGAGCCAAGACTGCCTTGAAAATGATCGTTACACGTCTTGACAGTGGATGGACAGACTTGAGGTCTTGACGACCGGCAAATCTAGTAGTGGGGAGAGTGAGGAATCGAATGACGCGCTCGGTGGCGTGATCGGTGCACGTGTTGTTTACTGTTTCGCTCAGGCGGCGCGCGGGCGCCGACATATATATATATATAATAGATATAGATATATCTATACAAATAAATAAAATTGGAGTGTCTGTTTGTAATATTAAAATAACTGCTTTTTAAATGTGTCGGCGTCCGCGCGCCGCCTGAGCGAAACCGTAAACAACACGTGCACCGATCACGCCACCGAGCGCGTCATTCGATGCCTCACTCTCCCACTACTAGATTTGCCGGTATAAAAGACGTGTAACGATCATTTGCAAAGCAGTCTTGGCTCTGGCGTGGCTCGGTGCACTAGTTGTACCTCGTTGCTAGCTTAACCTAGACACCTTGGATGATTAATTTGTGGAAACGAATTAATTATTATTCCGGTTATAATTTGGTTTCTGGACTAATTATACCCGATTATTTAAGGCTTATTTATCGAAGTGTTAATTTATAATATAGTCTAGTTTAATGACTAATTAATATCAAATTGTTATTAGTCCTGTGATTTGCTGTTTCTCTGTGTTTGATTGAATAAATTATTATCAAGTTTTAAAAGAACTTCTTTTTTTAATTATGACCGATCCTTCTCTTACAAATGCATATGTATGTTTACACGGTACATATGTCAAAATAACAATTTTTACAATTGTTGTCTGTCTGTCTGTCTGTTTGTTCCGGGTAATCTCTGGAACGGCTGGACTGATTTCGACGGGACTTTCACTGGCAGATAGCTGATGACATAAGGAGTAACTTAGGCTACTTTTTTTAGACTACCTTCGCCCCGCGGCGTTGCCCGAGGTTATAACAACAAACGCGGGTACCACCGCGGGTCTCAGCTAGTATACAATATATATATATAGTGGGAATGGAACCCATGACCTCTGGCTTCGCAGTCAGGGTCACTTATTCATATATATATATATATATTTATATATGTCCAACGTATAGTTTGGGGTCATTAATTGTATAGATGGTATAAGTGATTTCATATTATAGGTTCAATTAATCGAAGAATAGTTCGGGGACTGTACTCATCTATACAAATAAATAAAATTGGAGTGTCTGTTTGTAATATTAAAATAACCGCTTTTTACTAAATGCATATGTATGTATACACGGTACATATGCCAAAATAACATTTTTCACAATTTTTGTCTGTCTGTCCATTTGTTCCGGGTAATCTCTGGAACGGCTCGACCGATTTCGACGGGACTTGCACTGGCAGATAGCTGATGATATAAGGAGTAACTAAGGCTACTTTTTTTAGACTAGCTTCGCCCCGCGGCGTAGCCCGCGGTTACAACAACAACACAGCGGGTAACACCGCGGGGCACAGCTAGTTCTATATAAATGTCCTCAAAATATATAATCAATTCTGTTCCCATACTATTCTCTGGATACATATATATACATATATATATATATATTTCGATCTCTTCCAGATCACCGTAACATGGATTTTAGGTATTTAACAATTTAGGGTAGTATACATACACGTAACACAATATCACGTGAATTTTTAAAAATATTCATAAACATAAAGAAACACATTCATACACAAATATACATCTATGGACATTACACATATACAAATACACATACATACATATACACATACCTATACATATTTGTGTATATACTTTATTTATTTACAGTCTTTTATTACAAGAAATATGTTAGCCCTACCGTGGCTTATTCTAAGATATTAACTATGTTATGATAGTAGACAGGGGAAGCTGTTGCTGTGAAAATATCTCAAATAGGTCTAACGCCGCATTTGAAGTAGGGTTACTTAGAATGCTAATGAACAGTCCTACATCGTACACATTAAGGTTATATTTGCACATCAACGAGTTCCTCTGGCGCCGGTATCTGACACAATCCATCAGTAAGTGTTGGACATCATCAAGGACTCCGCAGGTATCACAATCAGGTGTATCAACTTTTTTCATGAGATGGCCAAACCTTCTAGATGGATAGTGGCCTGAGCGCAGCCTATGCACTGTAACAATGACATTTCTCTTTAACTTAATACAATTAATAAACCAGGGCATCCTAGCTGGCTGATGTTGAATGGTTTTATACCAAATGCCCTTGTCCTTACTTTTCTCATCAAAATATTCTTTGTAATTTTTATAACATAGCTTTTTAATGTTGCCTAAGTATTCATAGTAAGACATTTTAATAGCACAACTTATTCCGTCTGTACACGCTAGCTTAGCCAACAAATCAGCCTTTTTTTTTTTTTTCCGTGCGGAAATCCCCTCGGATACCACCTATCGGTGGCATGTCGGACTCGAACCGACTAAAACCGCACGCCGTCTCGGGTACTAATAGCCGGGGAACCAGGTATACCCTAGAAAGAAAGTCCCTGGTGCCCCGACATACCTCGGGCCATCTACAACAACAGCTGCTCCCTGGAAGCGAGCGCGCTTCGCAATGCGCTCGCCGCCACCCCGGCCTGCTTCTGCTAGGGTGACAGATGGCCTCACCTGTCACCCCCAGGCCTGCGCTTATGGAGGACGGAGGTCGTTCTGCGACCTCTGGCGCCTGAGTTTCCTGCGGTACCTGGCCCGTTCCCGGGCCTGGCGGGCCGGGAGAGTCCCGGTCCCGCTCCGCCGTCTCCTTCGCGAGCATAACTTGCTCGCAGAAGGAGACGGCAGAGTTCCACGTCCTCTCGCTCCGCACGATAGCCGCAATTAGGCTATCGAGCGAAAGAACTCCCACTCAGATGGCCGCCACGAGGTCTCCCCTCTGCTCAACCCACGCCGGACACTCTGCCAGCGTGTGGAGAGCCGTGTCCACGGTCGGGCCATCGCAGTGGTGGCACTCAGGCGTTGGCTCCTTGCGGATCAGACACAGGTGATCCCCGAAACATCCTTTCCCAGTGATTACCTGCGTCAGTCGGTATGAGAGGGTATGGTATGGGGTATGGTATGGTAAGGGGAGGGTATGGGTACGGTATGAGAGTCCCGTGACGCCTCTCGAGCCAATCCTCCATAACGGGTCTTACCGCCGCGATGACAGCGTGCCCGAAAAATCAGCCTGCTCGTTACCCCGAAGCCCAATATGAGAAGGAACCCATTGCAAACTCACAGTCTTCCCAGATGAATTGAATTCATGAATTTGCTTTAGCACCACATAAGGTATCTGGTATCAGAGGTGCACCGAGCAATATGCTGTAAAGCACTGTTGCGGGAATGCTGACGCAACGTTTTGAGTTATCGGTACTGTAGTGCGCTGTGAACCACAGTTGTCCCGTGGTCGTCTTGTATACCGTACTACAGCACACCCATATATATTGTATACAATCGTGATTAATAAATTTAAATAAGTTGTTCATAGACTTATTATTTCTCTCTGTACACATACGCAACCCCAGTAATAAAGGAACAAAGTAACGACCAGTTACA